TTATTTCAACAACTGCCACTAAATGAAATAACATAATGTAATTAACTACTTTACTCGTTTTATTTACTAAAATAGATAAGTTAGGTTCGGACAAACGAGCTTCGGACAATCGGAGCCGTCTCCTCTCTCGCAGCAATGTTTTTCCATGAGAACAAATAATAATTTTTCCTTGAACATGTTATGCACTGCTCTGAGACTATCTTAGATAAAGTCTACCCTATAGTCTGAAGGTGTCTCAAATCTCGTCGACGGAAACCTTTTGTCCCTCTACCGGCCATGTGTGTTTCCGGGTGTGAGCCACAGCTGAGATAAGCATTACCTAAACAACAGCCTCATTGGCTCAGTTGGTACAGCGCGCGCTCCGGACGCGGATGGGCGCTGGTTCGAATACTGAGGACCATTTTCCCCATTTTTTACGGCATCCGAATGAACTGACCAGGCCTGCAGCCACAAATAGGTCCGTCGGATCCACCCGCACAGTTGCTTGGCGGGCTCACGTACACAATGCATTGCAGGGCGGTATCGTTAGCCTAAGTTAGGCTGTGTAGTGCAGGCATTAAATGGAAGGAAACCTTGGCGTACATGCCTGAATACAATCCTATGACAGATTTAATGTACACTTTATTCATTATGTACACATTGAACAATCTTTCAATTTTATTCTGAGATAAATATAGGTAGTTTGTTCAAACTATATTTACAATATTAAATGTACAGTGATAATTCTAAAGGAAATATGCATTTTGCTTACAGATAGGACAGAAAAAAATGTCAAGAAACTAGTGCTACACAGCACAAAGATGGAACTGTACAATCGTAAAACAATTACAGAATTGACAAGACGAATTCACAGTCTGTACTTTGGCTATACTGATAAATGACAAAAACAAAGCATGTGATGATTTCACTGCATGCACATAACTTCATAGGCAGTCTTTAGAGTAACTTCCTCTTACGAAAAAAAAAAAAAAGAAAAAAAAAAAAAAAAAAAAAAAAAAAGAAAAGACATTTATATTACACAACAGCTATAAGGAATGTCAAACTAGACCATACTTCACAAAAATAAGATCTTCATTGATAATTAAAAATCTTTACAAAAAGGATAGCTTTGGTGCTTAATCAGACAAAATTACATGAAGTAAGGAGCACCAGAAAAATACGGGAAAAATAGCAGCACCTCACAATCTAACTTCTTAATGGTGGCTAACAGCTTTTAACTGTGCAACTAAATGGCCACCAAACAATAAGGAAAGAGCATGATTGCCTGATCAACCAGTGACTAGTCTTCTGATCAGTGGCATAGAATTATTAGAATTATATACTACGACATACATATTCAAGTTATGACAAGGAAGCAATCAAAGGATCAACATTACAGAATAAACAAATTCAAGTGTCACAAACCCTGTGTGCTTCCCACAGACTACATTATGTATTTCAACTGGGACTTAAATTAATAATCTCTTATATAACGCCTCATTTAATTTACACTGCATGTTGACATATACTGTATAACACGTTAAACTGTTTGCAAACTGCACCAGAACTGCATTGAAAACACCACACACTGATAAATTGAACTTTCAAACACATTGAAAAATTAACATTTAAAATACATCAAAATTAGAAGCACCATGATATATGAGTGTAAAAATTATAAATAAAGATAAAGAATGAAATTATCAATCTGGCCAGAAAAACAGACATTCAACAAATAGGAAAATGATTGGCATGAATGTTTGATGGGAAAAAAAGAGTACAACTTGTGCACGTACGTTTAACAATGAAACAAGTAATCATACCATACAACATTAGATCAGCCACAACAATTCGAGATTTTAAGTGCTATGAATAATGTAATTCTTAACAATAATACAAAATCAGTAACATTTAAAAACCAAGCAACAAATAATAAAATTCAAATAATAACAAGTTATGAAGTTATGTATTGCAAGTTAATGAAACCATATTTCATTTTCATAACAACAGGATATAACGACAATAAAACAACTGTTGCTGTTCAGTAGTAACTAGACTGACAAGTTTTTCTTCTGTAGGTAAGAAAAGAGGGTGCAAATATGGGAGACAGTAAGAACAGAACCAATTTTTGATAGCTTGCATGATTTACCTTCCTAAACCTGCCTGTACATCCGTGTTTATGTGAATTTAGGGCGCACACGAATATAGGGCGCGCCCCGGTTTTGGAGCCGAAAAATCAGGAAAAATCGTTTCAACATGAATTTAAGGCGCGGCTACTTGACTCCCAAAGCCGAACGACCAGATGAGTGGGCTACGCGACCCAGTCGCATAGGTCATTCATATGCAGTCCCGTACGTTCCGTGTCGCTGTTTTGCCGAGAGAATTAGCCGACTTGCCCCTTCACCCACTTGAGAGCAAGAGAGACAGTAACCGTCTTTGTCGCACGGATGGTACGGGTCAGGGGTGAGAAACCTGGGAGAAACAAGAGGCGGGTCGACACGGGTCCCGTAGTCGCCCTCAGTCGGTTTTCCACGAAACTAAATACTTCCCCCCATTAAACGAGCGATTTCGGTCAAAAAATGCACTTTTGGTACGCATTTAAGGCGCACACGAGTATAAGGCGCACCCCACTTACTTTTCGGGCTCCAAAAAACGGCAAAAAGATGCGCACTAAATTCACATAAACACATAAACCTTAATCATCGCATTAAAATCTGTTTGGCACATATCTATACTGGAAATAAAAGAAAAGAATTCTAAAATGTTGAGAAGTTAATACAATGTAGACTAGTAGATAGCTAATGTATGTATGCCACAGAAAGAATTAGATATTAAATTATAGTTGAAAGCTTCCAAAACCCAAATCAGACTTGGACACACTTTGATGAACCCTTTGGTAAAAACACGACAGAGCAACCACGTATTTTGATGATTTCTAACACTTAATTCCCAAATATTCTTCTAAGTTCAATATATAAAAATACAGCAGTTTAAATCAATTCATAATAACTACAGGAAAAAATATATTAAACTGATACAGAATCAAAGAAGCTTCAGGAGCTCACAAGAGTTCTCTGAAAGTTAAAATAGATTTTTGAGTAATGGTTGATACTATGATACACAAAAACTTACTCATAATTACAAGCAATAAAACAATCAAAGAAAAAAAAAACAATATCACAATGGCACCTCAGTATTAGCGATGGGTAAGTTTCACCAAACATTGGCCTGAAGAGGCATCAGACAAGAAGCAAGTCAATGAGCGCTTTACTGACCTTAACAAAATACACTGAATTACAAGAAGAGAGTGACACCTACAGCTTAATAAGGATTCAAATGCAATTCCTATTCATAACTGTTGAACTCAGATATTTACTTTTCATAATAAACTAATAAGTCAGATAAGCTGTGGCATGTAGCACTGTAAATCAGTACAAAATAGAGACTAACTGTTCGATCTATATTTAACTCACATTGCTTTGCAGCTTTAGTGGAGCCATGTCAATGCACTAAAGCATTTCAATAGTGTAGTACCAGAGTGAGGGACTGATTAAGCTGATTGATTGGGTACAACCAACAAGGCCCATACAAGTTTCACATACGGTACTTTTCCACTTTGCTATTCCGAATTTCTAGCCACACACTTTTCCCCTCTTTAAAAAACCATTTCTGAAAGGACCTTTGAAAATACAATTTCATCGGACTGATTAAAGGTACTCGAACAATGAATGTTCTCTGAGGGAAAGTTCAGACGAGAGGAAACACGCGCTGAGTGAGAGCCATTCCACCCTATGTTCTCAAAAACGTTTCCTCATGTAACTATGAAGAACATTCATTGTGGGAGTACCTTAACACAATATCTTCACCGCTAAAATTAAAAAGGTATGTCTATTGGATGCCAAACCAGTACTCGTGACAAGAGAAAAGTATTCGAGGAATGGGTTCATAGCAGTACATTCAACACTGCCTAGACAACAAAGATTAATTTATAATCTTAATACTAAAATTGAGCAGGTTACTATGGTAAAGTGAGTGCTTTGAGAGAACAATAATTGTACTTCAAGATGTCCTGCAAGTGGCTTCACCAAAAGTGCTACACAATGAGAAGACTACTCTCATGGTAAAAATTTCCGAAGTCAGTTATAAATTTCCATCATGAGCTTCTTTAGCTTTCACCTCAAACAGGTACACATACCTATTCACACTTCTGCCCTCAAATTCAAACATTTGAAACATCATTTTTAGTGTAGTCAGAAATTATCACATTAAAATTGTTGCATATAAATAAAAAGATTCAATAAGATAAAAATGGATACCTTAAAGCAGTCAAATCAATTTTTCTAAATTTTAGGAGTTGTCAATAGATATTGACAGCTATTTACTAATTAATTACTAGTTGTGACTTCTGTTTCAATGGCTTGGTACACAATAAATACCATAATAATATAGAGGACACATTCCGTCTTGATTTCAACTCATTCAAGTGGATTTATAAAGCATGCAATGAAATGACAGTCCCCCACAGGATATCAGAAAACAAAAGAGGAATTAGATACTAAGACACAAAACTTATCTGGCTGGGAAATTAAGGAAATGACTGTCTTTAACTGAATACATCCACTAACGGTTGGAAAACCAAAGACGGCTAAGTTTTCGTCAGAGATCATGCAAGTCTGATGATGCTCCAAACATACGTCGCTGTGGTTGAGGTGTATAATGAAACCTTGCACGAATGCTATCAAAACGTCGAACTTGAGGGGAACCTGGTGTTGAGCTTGTGCCACTTGTACTGTTGACTTGACTTGCACTTGATAATAATACACTTGTTCCATTGAAACTGTTAGGTCCACCCTCAGTTGAGAGTCTACGTGGAGGAGGTTGAGGAGGTGATGGTGACACATACCTTAAAAATAGATTGAAGGTTTCAAATTTATACACAGATTACTAAGTAAATGTCAAGTACAAAATAAGCCAAGAAAACATACCTGCGAGGAAGAGAAGGTGAGCCATCAAGGACTCCTCTTCTAACAGGAGAGACATCAAGGAAACCTCTACGTCCAGCAAGAGGTGATGCTGAACCATCACTCAGTCCCAAGCGACTGAGCCTTGGAGGTGGGTCAGGACTTGGGGGAGGAGGACCAGGAGAGGCATTTCTAGTTGGTCGCGGAGGGGGTAATCGGCCAGGGCTGCCTGGTGAACTGCTAACTGAATGGCTACTTCCACCTAAGTTAAATTTCAAAATAGATGTGAATCTCTTCTTGCCTAAGTTTGTAGACTCTTCTCCTTTTAAGTTTTCTAATGGTTCACTTGATATTGGAAAATTGGCTGCCTGGGAATATCCAGTAAGAGGAAGGTGATTGTGATAATGGTAATGATGGACTACAGGGTTTAGGTTTGGCTGTTGTTGCTGCTGCTGTTGTTGTTGTTGCTGCTGCTGCTGATGGTAAAACCTCTGTAGAACTAGCGGACTGGTGCTACCAGGCAAAGATGTATCTCTATTACTAGGCTGAGGAGGTTCAGAGGGAAATCTTTTTCTACCAGGTATTGGTGAGTTAATAAAGCCAGGGCTGAAAAGAATAAAATGATTGGGTTTTATAAAGTTTCAAGTAAATTCTGAAGCTTGGCATTGCACAGAAACACAACATACCCAATATGAAGACGATGTGAATCCCACTCAACAGCTCTAGCCTCCTGAGCTTGCCAGAAGGCATGGGCTGGGGACATGGGTGGTGGAGTAGAACGTAAATTACTAGCCTCTACACCAACTGGTTCCACAGCATTTGCCATACGGGATGAATGGAAAGGTGAAAAACGACCACCTGATGATGTGTCTGATGAACCAATAGTGCGCCTACGGAAGGAGTGCAATGAACAATGAGTTCTAGCGCCAGACATATATTATATATCCTATTGTACCTCTTAACTTACCGCCCACTATTTGAAGAGACTGATTCTCCATTAGTAAAGTGGTGGCTATGAGACGGTAAGGGCTGATATTGTGCCACAGGATAAAATGTTCTACCTGTTTCAGAAACAGATCTCACATGTTGGGGGTAGTTTGTTGAAGGATTTCTTCGTACAGATGGTGATGCTGTCCCAGGAAACCTGAAATGAGCAAAGAGAAAAAGTAAAAATAAGAGGATAATACATGAAAGATGAGAGAATGTTATGTGAAGTATTGAAAAGTTATCGTTATGTTTACTGTAGCTGGATATGATGTGAGAGCTAAATGCAAATGGTTGTAGATAATAGCAAAGAACCATGCAAAAGTTGTACCATAAACCCATACTCAAGCTTGACTAAAATAAAATTGGCATGCACTTCAAAAAGAATAATAGTAGAATACTCACCTGATCACTGATAAACACTGATATAAGGTGACTTACTACTTGTGCACAGAGGAATTATGGATAAAATGTTATTGAATTGTTCCAGATGAGTCCATTCAGTTCCTTCATTACAATTAACTAGAAAACATTTGCGCTCCAGCAATTCTTAAAATATTGCACTACAAATTCAAAAGACTTGCGAATTATACTGGCATAAATATATCGATTAGAACCAACACGTGTCAAGATATACTAATGGCCCAGGAGCCAGAGGGAGTTAATTCTCTATGATAAATGTCGATAATTATATCAATCAAATTGAAGTTGTGACACATGACTGAAGGGACATCAATGTGGCTGCACTACAGCTAATTCACACTACACATGACCACTATAAGCACTAACGACAAACCAAGTCACCATTTGGGTCAGGTACAGAAAAAAAAATTATAGTGTTAAGACTGCATCAGCTTTATTACTACAGAGCAGTTCTACAAATAATAGAGGCGCTGAAAACATGGCATGCATGAAGACTTCTTTAGCCCATGTAGAAAACCTTTTGGAATTCATTACGATGCTCAGTATCCATACAATAGCTCATTGAACGTTAACCACTAGCAACTGGATCACAAAACAAAAGTGGCAAGTAGAGTCGTTTACAAAGAAACATTTTATGTCTGAACCCAAACTTGTCTTTTGAAAAATGACCATGCACAAGCCAAAAGTCATTCCTTGGTTGGATAGGGTATTATACTAATCAAATACATCATCAAACTCATCACCCGTATGACATAAAACCTCACTAAAATCCAACAGGCTCCATAATTGCAATGCATAATTTCTTTGCAAAGATCCCAACTAAAAGAAAAGTAATCATGCAAAATATATGGCATGAGCATGAGGCTAAACATGCAAAAATATGAATATCTTACACCATATACTGTACTTTTAGTGGAACAGTATTATCTAAATCAAAAGAAAGAACAGAAAAGATAGTTGAAAGTTTGATCCTTTGCCACACACTGCAGGTAGACCTCTTAGCAGTGGGGTTGCATGCAAAAGCTTTTGGCAAATGAGATAAAACACTATAGCCAAACAACAGAGCATTTGCTCCAGTAAATTAATCAAACTGTGTTTCTAGGAAAATTAATAGAGATTATTAAAATTCAAAATCAACAGCTTTTTAAAAAGTAGAGAGGAAATAAGCAGCATTACAATTACAAAGCCTGGATAATATCACACTTTTTTTTCATAAACTGGACTGAAAACTACTAGCAACAGTCATCATGTGGCAATGTTGTCTAGTTCTTTATCACAGAAAAATTGACACCGATAGGGTGAATATCCTTGCTTTTCTAGAGCTACAGAAATTTACCAGAAAATGCATTGTATTGGAATAAGCCAATTTAAGAATAATCTGTTTGATAGCTAGTGGAATAAATATCACAAATTTTGGAACTCTGTATTGAGAAGTACACACAGTACTTGGATGTGACTAAAATATTTTCCAGATAGTACTTTACTTGTGCTATAAGTGCTACTTCCAACACGGTTAAGAAGAATGAAATTTGCTCTTAAAGGAAAGCCGGATATAACTTAAACACGAAAATAAGATGCTAGAAATTATACTCAGGGTTGTCAAGAACTAGGTACTTGTTTATCAACAGCTTTGTAAAACTATGAAAACACACACTACTCTCAATACTTTAAGGGAAACAAATGAAGTATCTGATTTATGTTTAGGCAGAATCCTCAGTATCCCTAGCACCATTTCATATTAGTACAGGTCAAGCAGAAAACCAAAACCACTTCAATTCACACACAGGTAATAACCACGATTCATGTTCCTCTACACATGCAGACAATGGTAACAAAATACTCAATATTTTCACTACATTTTTCAAGTATGTATAACTTGGTGAAAAGATAACTTAAAATTGCAGTTTTAAGTTTGTCCTCTAAGTTTTCTTTATTCCTATTCATGAAATGTATTGAAATAAAGGAATGATAAAGGCAATGTTCCAATTAACAAGCAAAGGAATGAAATCTTACTTATTAACAGCCCAGTGAGCGATAAAGTTTCATGGTTCATTCACTACAATAATTTACTTCAAAAATTATACCATGATACTGCTGCTGTTGGAGCTTTTAGTTATGACTATACAAATGGGGCAAAAACTCAAAAATAATACTTAACACTCCAGAAAAGTTGATATAGAGAGTGGATTTCATATATATATCACAATCAATATTTTCCTTTCAAAATTTGATAAGAAAAGATACAAGCCCATTTAAATGATCGGAGAGGCAACGTCACTGACAAAGGAAAAGCCCATTTTATTACCTTCTAAATGGGAGAAGTCAGACTTTACATGTAGTAAATCTAAGAATAAATTAAGGGTTAGGTTGTAGAAGTATTACTTAAAAGAGAGAGGGGGAAAAACTATGGAGAGGTCTTAGAAACAGGTAGCCAGAGGAACCATATCCCTCAAAATACCCCCTGTTTCAAAAAGAAGTTAGATTTAACAGTGGCTTACAATTAAGAAATTCCTCATAAAATGATACCCCTTATTTTTGGAATAACTAGAACATTAAATAGAGCTACAATGTAAAATCTTTTGACTCACCCACACAAAATCATAAAAATACTACATGGGTAGAGGCAAGTCAACTAATTTAAAGATAGGCATGCTCCTCAGAATTAGAGTAAAAATTGAATGGCCTCAAAAACCGTTTGCTCAAACATTATTACAAAATACGTATCTACTTTGATACTTTTGAAACACTTGATCAATTTAAATCCTAATAAATCCCATGTGACTCTAGATCAAGTCTTTCAGCAAATAATACACTACAGTACTGTAAAGCAAAATCTAAACAAGGAGTTTTTTCCATCACCACTATCAACAAGAAAACAAAAGTTCATTGATACTGCAAAACATGCTTGAAGAGGAATACACTTCCAAATTCAATCTTGGAAAGTCAGTCCTGAGGCCACTCAAAATCACCAGAACCAAGCAAATCCAAAATAAAGGACGGATTAAAATTTGAAAACGTTTTGAAATATCAATTTAAAATGGCAGATAATTATCATACCTTATCAAACCCCAAGCAGGTAAATTTAACATAATTTTCCTAAGTAACCGCAAGCCAAAATTTATTTTTGAAGAGAATAGACTACTGATGAATGACAATAACACAAAATACTAATGAGTCTAAATTGCTTTCTTGTCAAAATCTACATTACTGATCCAGAGGTTGAGCAGTGAAATATTGGCATATTCAACTGCATTACACCAAATATTTTTCCAACCTACCTTTTCATTGGGGAATTCAAGATGGGAGGTGAAGTAACGCTGGTGTTAACTGGAGCAGAGACTAAAGGTGCTGGAGTAAGTTGACTGGAGAGGGTTGACTCAGATGGCCTCCGAGAACTATTGGGATCTTGAAGTTTAGGTTCTGTCTCCTTTTCATACCACTCTGCCACATTAACTTCAGTTATCTCATATTTTGTGATAAACGGATGTTGCAATAATTTGCGGTATTTTGGCCGGTTTTTGTAGTCTTTAGTTAAACTGCACAGGGAAAAAAAGATGAGGTATAGAATCAAAAGTTAACTTGTAGCAGAAAATAAGATGATTTAAATTTTAACTCATACCAGCAGTTAACAAAATCACGAAACTCCGCACTAAAATTTTGATCTGACGGAAGGCTAGGAGGATCACTTTGAAGAACTTTAGTCAGCACTTCAAAATCAGTGACACAATTGTTGTATGGGAAAACTCCAGTTGCTAACTCGACAAGGGTGATACCCAGACTCCAAACATCAGCTCGGATATCATAATCAGGATGCCGAGGATCTGGAGGGTCTATTCTCTCAGGCTGAAAATTAACTTAAATTTTAATATATATTGAAAGTACACTAAAGAGTATAAGCAAAACAAAAATTCAAATTTTTCAAGAATAATTTGTAGACAACCCACCGCCATGTACGCAGCACATCCAGCACTTCTTGTTTGGGCTTTTGAGTCCACCAATCGTCCAGAAATTCCAAAGTCACAAAGTTTGACATTTCCTCTCTTATCAAGTAAAATATTTGACGGCTTTACATCCCTATGAATGACACCATGTGTCTCCTTAAGATAATCTAAAGCTTTCACAGTCTAGAAATTTAAAAAAATAAATTATTAGAAGCACAGAAAAATATTAAAATAGAAGTTCTGATTCTTAGACAGTTCCACTTACTGCCACTGTAACTTTGCCAAGTATGTGCTCTGGTATAGGTTTCCGTAGCCGTTTCAGCAACTTATCAAAACAGGTGTCCATAAGTTCCATACATATCCACACATCTGCTTCCAGAATGAAGCAGCCTACACATTGTACAATAAATGGGCAGTCATCTGACTTAAGCACTACTTCGATATCCATAGTGATACGTTTATTTTCATCACTATTTCCTGATCTCCTCATTTGCTGGTGAAAAATAATTATATTGAAACATAACACTTAAGACCACAAAACTAAGTAAATTCATAGTAATCTCAAGAAAAAGAAAATAATATTACCTTGACAGCAATAATTACATTGCTAGGTTTGTGGCACATTTTTACAACAAGGCCGCAAGTACCATTTCCTAACTCTCCCAGATGATCCATGTCAGAAACTTGAGTACGGTATTCCTAGAAAGAACAATCGAATTATAAATATAGTTATAAAATAAGTTAAAAGGTAAAACTCCAGACACTAGAGCTACTTTAACTCCTCCATGGTACACACACCTGTCCATTGATTTTAAGAAGACCACTTCGTTGGATGATTTCTTGCCACCTTGTATCATCTTCATGACTGTTCCTCTGTGGCATAGGTTGAGGGACTGGCAAGTCAACAGGCGGTCGTCTACGTGTGGGGGGTCCGCAAGTAACTACAAACAAATACACAATGATATAGATTTTACAAAACACTTCAATTTGATGGGTGGGCCTACCATGATGAACGTTGAGGTTAACTCTTAGGCTGGGAACACTGCCTTTATTAAGTGGTACAGGCTTAGGCAAGTTTCTTGTGTTTCAAAAATGTTTGATTGCCAGCAAGTGTTCAACTCTACCTACCATAGAATGAAAGTATGCATGACAATGGAGTATTGGTTGTGAAGTGAGAAAAGTAACCCATTGAGCAGTAGGCACAAGTCTTGTTTGACAGGTTAAAAGTAGGGTGAGAAACAGAGCCATCGGTGAAGGCATCAGTGCATGTATATTTTAGAGTACCTCAGAAGTTTAAACTTCAGGGAAATCCCATAAAATTTGGGACTGAGGAATAATATTAAGTGGCGAAGCAAATCGCTGTGATGAGTCCACACTCTGGTAATAACATGGACTTACGTTTATCGGGACGGGCTGGTCGCCCAACCCCGAGACTGTCATTTCCAGGTCTTGCTATTGGAATGTTTCGCGGCGGCAGAAACCTTGCAAGGTTATTAATTTGCTCTTCTAGCGACGGAGTCGACATTTTTCGGCCTAGGCGAAAAACATCAAGTGTTTTCGTTTTCAGCTAGTTACTGCAGTTACTGTCTTCTCTTCTCATTGGCCTAGAGAGAGACATGAAGCAAACGGCCAGCACACTGCACTTTGCGGACCAAAGCCGACACGTCGCTCTGCTTCTACTCAAAATGCAAAGCGTGAAAAAGAAGAGTACGGCGTTCATCGAGGCTTTCTCAAAAGACGTGAGAATGTCCGCATCCTGCTGTACAAGTGAAATGAATTCAACGGCTCTGTCAACGGGGAAAGCCAAGGCGTGCGCCTCGCGCGGAGAAAAACTGAACTACTGTTGAGCGCGCCATCATGAAATGACAGCGGCAATGATTCCCTGTCATCGCAAATGTAGGTCACATGTCAATAACAAGCTGTCACGAATGAGGAGGATTGCTACCCGGCGAGCCGAGACAAACGTGGAGGATTGACCTAGAATGTCAGCTTTTTACCCAAACATTCTGATATGAACATTATTTCTGGCAACTGTCTTTGTTTACTTTCGCGGGAGGCTTTGTGCCGCGCGGAGGCGTTCTGGCCTGACCGAACAACAACACCCTTCCTTTCAATCCCTCTTTACTCCACAGGAAATAAAAGGTATATTTTATTTTTTCATTTTGTTATTTTTGTGCCCTTTGCCCATACTGAAACGGGCCGAACGGGCCGAACCGTACCTCCCTGTGAGGTAGGCCAAGGACAAGGACGTGAGCCGTGTGTGTTGTGGGGATTGGGGGGAGGGGGGGATACAACGACCATTAACCGGTCTACATTACCCGAAATTAGTATCAACGGCTTTGTCTGGTGGTGGGCGTTTTCTGACGCCTTCCACCGCCCCTGTTGCGCCACGCCACCGCGGCTCCTTATCGCCTGGAAGGAGCGAGGGAGATAGCGACGCGCACGATCATTTGCCATCTCGCTCCATCGCCGTCCCCCTCGGCCCGCAGGAGCGAGTGAGACAGACGATGTGGACGCGGGCAGAAGTCAGCCCCCCCCCCCCCCCCCCCCCCCCCCCGCAGGGGGGGGGGGGAAAAAGGGGGGGGGGGGGGGGGAAAACCCCCCCCCCCCCCCCCCCCCCCGGTGCAGACAGGAGGCCGCGGCTGTCGCGGCGCGGGGCGGGGCGGTGGCACGTCGGCGGCGCAGTGCCGAGGCAGTTCAGTTTCAGTCCGCGATCCGATCCGACAGCTAGGCCCGGTCCGACATGGCAGACTTGAATACGGGGCTGCTCCGCGGCAGGGTGGCCCTCGTCACGGGTACGCACGCACCCCCGCCGAAACCCGAGGCCCGCGGCTCCCTGAGGTGCTCCCCGAGGCTCTCCCGGAGGCTCTCCCCGAGGTCCTCCCCGAGGTCCTCCCCGAGGTCCTAGCTCCCCGAGGTCCTCCCCGAGGCCCTCCCCGAGCCCTCTCCCCGAGGCCCTCCCTGAGCCCCCTCCCCGATGCCCTCCCCGAGGCCCTCCCCGAGCCCCCTCCCCGAGGCCTTCCCCGAGGCCTTCCCCGAGGCTCTCCCTGTAGACTGATTCCGAAGAACCCTCAAGGCGCTGCCCTATGAGTGCGACAAGGACGGAGCTATACGACAGGTATAGGAGAGGGTTCTTCGGAATCAGTCGATCGGCTGAGCTCCTTCCCGAAGTCCTCCCCCAGGCTCTCCCTGAGGTCCTCCCCGAGGTCCTCCCCTCCCCCCCCCCCCCCACCGTCCTGGTACTTCCCCCCTGACGCACCCGCGGGCTGCTTGCAGGCGCCGGCAGCGGCATCGGTCGCAGCACGTGCGTGGCGATGGCGCGAGAGGGGGCGAGCCTCGTCCTGGCCGACATCAACGAGGCCGGCGCGGCGGAGACGCTGTCGCTCATCCAGCAGGTGACGAGCTCTCCCTGTGAGACAGTGGACATCGAACCGACGCCAAATCAACGTCAAAACTAGACCAGGTGGCTGATTAACCCCGTTCGCTTAAAATGTAGTTATGCTGTACCGCACGCACGAGTGCGAGCGGGTTTGCCTATCGCCCCTGTATACGGCGCCTCGCAGGCCGAGCGAGTAAGCCACCCGCCCGCACTCGTGCGTGCGGTACAGCATAACTTTAGAAGTGAGCGGGGTTAATCAGCCATGTGGTACATGCTGAACCGGCGTCGGATCGACTGCGAAATCATTGAAATTTCCGTCGGTTTGACGTCGACGACGTTGGTGGGTTTCTGCCTGGCCCTGCGGTGCCCCTGCGGCAGGACGGCGCGCCCGGTCACCACCTGCCGCTGCGCCTGGACGTGACGGACGAGGCCGCGGTGGACGCCGTGCTCCGCGAGGTGCAGCGGCACTTCGGCCGGCCCGCCGACATCGTCGTCAACAGCGCGGGCATCATGGGGCCCGTCGCCTTCCTGCTGGACCTCGACGTCAAGGCGATGAGGGAAGCCTACACGATCAATGTTGAGGTGAGGGGAAAGTGCCTCTTCGAGCGTCGGAACTGCGGGTGTGCAAGTGATATCGTTTCGACGTCAGCTATGGATATCGACGCGACATGCCAGAGGGGACTGCCTACCTCCAAGCCGGCTGTCCCTAGCTGTCCCCTCAGAGATAACACACAGGGCACGCGCCCGCTGCTTCCGCGGTCCGCAAAGTTCGCTGACATCAAATTAATCTACTGCGCTTTGGCGATAACTCGAAACGCAAACGTCTTGCTGGTCGAGGACCGCGGCGCCGCTTTGACGGGCCCGCCGCCGACGGCGGTGAAGGACGCCGACTGCAACAGCTGCAGGGGGATGGGGAGGGAGGGGGCAGGGGGCTTTTACTACTGGTCTCGACCCCGCCGTCGTGCGTCGTGACCTCTCCCGCCTGTATGCTTCTCGTCCCCCAGGGCACCTTCATCGTGATGCGGGCGTTCGCTCGCGCCCTCAAGGAGGCCCAGCGCGGCGGCGCCGTCGTCAACCTCTCCAGCGTGGGCAAGCTCGCCTGCTTCCCCAAGCGGGGGCACTACGCCGCCACCAAGGGCGCCGTCAGCGTGCTCACCCAGACCGCCTCCAGGGAGTGGGCGCCGTGAGTAGGGGTCTTCGAGGGGTACTCCACTTATTCAACAATAAGAGTACACAGATTTTATGGTCCTCAATTCCGTAGCTTGGGCATTCGCGTCAACGCGGTGCTCCCCGGGATGGTGGACACCCCCATGACGCAGAACGGAGCCCCTCCCGGCGTGCGGGAGGAGGCCATCAAGAGCATGACCTCCTTGGGGCGGATGGCGAAGCCTGAGGGTGAGTCCACGAACAAAGAGCCGTGTCGATACCGGATTGGACCGGGAGATATAAAACAAAATAGAAAAAACACAGATCTGAAAATCATTATTTTTTATATGATTTCTGGTGATTTCCATAAATACTTTCGCCGAGTGCAAGTGTGAGCCGTCGGCGACTCACGGTGGGGGAAGGGGGGCATAGGCATTATTATCTGATAAGACGTACAAAACCCGTACATGCATAAACAACACTGTTGGAAATGGGGCCTTACCGTTCTGCTCACAGAGATTGCCGAGGTCATCGTGTTCCTGGCCTCCGACCGCAGCAGCTACATGACGGGCGCCGAGGTCCCCGTGTCCGGCGGCATCTTCGGGGCGATCTGACGAAGCAGGCGTCGGCAGCGTCGGCGGCGTCCCCCGCGTCGGCGTCAGCGTCCGCGGCAATAACCCGACGACTGGCGGCATCTTGAGGGCCTTGTCGGCGGCGGGGCGCGGCCCGGAGCAGCACCCCAGGGCAGCACCCATGGCGCACAAGTGACCTAAGACTACTATCGTCGCCAGAAGGAAATCTCGCCAGCCCGCCTCCAGCAGCAGCAGCCCCCCCCTCCCTATTTTCCTACTTCTATTTCCGCCGTTATCGCAGAGCATGTTAATCCAAGGAGGAATTTGAGCCCTGATTGTCACCATGACGTCAAAATAAGGGACCATTTCGACGCCATGGTGAGAGTTCAGGGCTCAAATTCCTCTTTGGTGCTCCATGTCAAACATGAAATCGAAAATATGCCATCAAACACGACATCGAAAAGTCAAAGTGATGTCACAACGATATCGTTCGCCGACATCGTTTTTCACCGCCATTTCGCACTAGGTAACAACGTCGCGTGATAAAAACTGACATGTAAAATACTCCTCCCGCGTCTCGCCCAGGTAGAACACGTTTGTCAAAATGATGTCAAAATGACCTCATTTTGACCCTAATCGTCAAAATTTACTGCGCCTACGTAGCCAGAATGAGCTCATTTTGACGTCAAATGAGGGTCATTGACGAGTTTTTGACGTTTGTGTTCTACCTGGGTCTTCCCTGTCACCAGAGAGCGCAAATAGCCTCAGTTTAAACGGCGTCTTCCGTCAGCCAACGACGCATCGAGCACTGGATGTCGAACGGCTGTCGTTTCAGGGGATCGACACTTGCACTGAGTGTACAAGTCCCAGTCAACCCCGTAACGGCATACGCGCGGCTACGTAATATAATTGTGATACTACTGTTTCTTGTGCGGACCATATCATATCAGCAGCCCCTTCACCAAAGAAATGGTAATAAAAATAATAAACGTTTGAAAACTTTTGAAGTGACGCGTTTACCGCAAACAGCAATGTTGCTTCGCTCAGCATCCCCCCCCCCCCTCCTTTTTTTACGCGCGGCTCTCAACAGGTGCCATGTGAGTTTGTGAATGCAAGCAAACTCGTGCAAACCGGCTGCCTGCCTGCCTGCGCGACGGCTTCTAGAGCAAATGGGCGATAGAGACTATGAATGGGCAGGACGGAGCTCATTTACTACGTTTACTACGTCATTTGTACGGTGTCGCGTACTTTTTTCACACGGTCCACATGTGATCATGATATTTGTACCACCGGGGTATAAATATTGTATAATACGTTCCTTGCGGCGTGACCACGCACTGTGTGCGGTCACGTCCCACCAGTTTAAAACATAGACACCAAAAATGAGCCGCAAGTACGTGATAAACAAGAAAGATATTCGCAACCCGGTACTCACCTGGTACTCTCGAAGGCTGCACACTTTGCGTGCTCGACTGACACCAGGTCCTGACTGCACCATTATTGTGCACTGCGACACCGTTTTAAAGCGCATCTGTTGCGTGTGCCAGGACACCCACAACCCCGTCTCGTCATACAGGGTGGTCCACAGACCCCTTCCTTTATTTTGCTTATACTGCATCGGATGCAGGCGTGCGGACGGGTTGCATACTCGCACGGGGCCGTAAGGCGCCTATGGTGAGCGACAATAGGCAAGCCCGCCCGTACGCCTGCATGCGGTACAGTATAAGCAAAATAAAGGAAGGGGTCTGTGGACCACCCTGTATCATGACGTCAGTTTCGGGCGGGCCCCCCATACGATACTGTAGGGCGAGGGACTTATCTGGGCAGCAAGAAGTACAGACTCCGACCGACGGCGGAAAGTGCAGACTGAGATTCAACACGCAGAACTACACGCGGCAGTCCAATATGTATGACAGTGGACGGTCTCCCGGGTCTCCACTTTAAAATACTGCACCCGTGTGTCAAGCAATGCCGCTTTGAAAGGGAGAAGTTACGTACTAAATAAAAGATTTAACCCGAAGAGGCAGAAGAAATTTTCCGCGGGGAACATTTAAAAAGCCTTCAAAATTGACAATTGACCTGGTCAGAGCCCGGTTCAAACACAACACACAACCAACAAGTGTGGCATGGGCTGCCCGCTGGGTTGCCTGCCGAAAGCGCCTGCCATGTGCGGCGTAGGCAATCCCGCAATGCAGCTCTGATCCGCTGGGTTGCCTGCCAGAAGCGCCTGCCATGTGCGGCATAGGCAATCCCGCAATGCAGCTCTGATCCGCTGGGTTGCCTGCCAGAAGCGCCTGCCATGTGCGGCATAGGCAATCCCGCAATGCGGCTCTGATCCGCTGGGTTGCCTATCGCTTCTCGTAATAGTCTTTTCGTCCAACGTCTGCCTGGTCTCTAGACCTAAATTTGTCTATTTGTAATGGGATTTAGAAACTTCAGAACATCAGCACAAACTACATAGTAAATTAATTTAATAATACAAAATATACAGTAGCGTAAGTTATGCCCATATCACTTCTTATTTTTCTTTAACCGCTTTGCCTGTCTGTGAGCTTTGTAGTGAGTCTTTTGTTTTTCTGCAATGATATCTTTGTAACGCTTCTTGGTAGACTTTTGGAATTCAGCATCTGCTAATAGCTCATCAACCAGAGTCTTCTTTCGGTCCTTCATGGGAATACGGCTATGATAGAAATCTGCGGCGGATTCAACAACACGCCCAACCTGAGACGCAAAGACCATTAGATTCATTTTTAAGATCTCATCAATCTTATATTAAGATGATGAATGAACTGATAGTAGGAAATAGATAAAATACAAGACCTGGAAGTATTTTGGTAGATTTTTGAAGTCATTCTTTTTGTAGAAATGTTTAGGATCCAATGTTGACCGCATTTTCAACACTTCTAGGTCATTTTTCATTTCTTCAGTGATCTCTGGAGCTTTCATGTTGAACCAGTTCCGTCCAGCTGTCTTTTCTCGTTCCATCTGATTGAAACGAAACAGGATTAGATTTGACAAGCCACTTCCAAAATACTCAACAACTGGGCGGAAAAGATTATATAATTCATACCTTTCTCTGCTTCAGCAATTGACGACGACCTTCATCGTAAGATGGTAAAGAATGAAGTTTCTCCACGCCAGGCTGTAGAACACTCTTCTGAAGCAACTTGTCGGGATTATTCATTTGCCTTGCTAAGGCATTAGCAGTTGGTTTATTAGTTTGAGTAATACCAGAAGAAGATCCCCCTCCGAAGTCCAAATAAGTGTCATCAAAATTGATCTCTTTCTCTTTAAGTTTACTGCCCGACCTATAGAATACACAAACAGGTGTATTAGCAACACAAACATTTTGTTTTTCAGAGGCATACAGGTAAAAACATTACCTTAATTTACTTGACGTTGCCACAGGATTACTGGGAAAGGGCAGAAACTCAAAATCTAAGACAAGATCAAAAGTGTCAGTCACCGAGTTTTTCAGAATGTTGGGAAAGACAAAGCACAGGGCACAGGCAAAACCATGGAGTCCAGCCACTAATGGCAAAACTTACCATCATCACTTTCATCATTGACGAAATCGTTCACTTTATCGGATAATAAATCTTGCTGACCTTTGGTATCTATTACGAAAGCCATGTTTGTTTGAGGAATAAATCCAAAAAGTTTCAAAAAGCTGGCCACTGTCACTCCCAACCAAGACACATGGGTAGGTACGAAGTATGAAAAGAATTCTAGGTTATGTTTATGTACTGTCTTACAAGAGTTGCTGCCAACCCCAGATTACAAACGTCTCATCAAGATGATGAAATAAGCAATTGAATGCGGCCTGTAATAGATCAAATTTTATATGAATTTAAATCAAAGACTGTTTTTAAACAAATTATACTAGATTTGCAAACCTCATGAAATGTTTGAAATGTTGGCTCTATCTGCTTTACACTGGTAGCAATGTTTGTTTATCTCCTTATCAAAAGTCATCTGAAACTGCAGCCGAAATTCCAGTCAACCTGTCAAAATCTGTTGTAACTTACCTCTATTGAAGTAGTGATCCTAGTGATTTGTCAACTTGTTTTCAGATCTTCAATTTTTACAAGGATGACTCTGTACAGAAAATGTGTATGGTTTATGAAGGGCTTACGCGAATACACAAAGTATGTTATGCAATGATTAGACTTTAATCAAGTATTGTGATCTCTTACTGAATCCTGCTGAATCTAAAACACCTGTTGCTTTTAAATAAATGCTTTGTAGAAGCGGCTATCAGTCTGCCTCCAAGAATTTCAATGATGGAGACCTAGATGTTGACTGCTCTGGAAAAGTCTACATGATAACAGGTATTGCCTGGTAATCTTACCAAACCACATGTAAGCAACTGGTCTGTTGCTTATTTGTATTCTTGCATCACTCACAAGTTCCATTTGTTAGGAGCCAACAGTGGCATTGGTGAAAGCGTTGCCCAACATGTAGCAAAGTGTGGTGGCACTGTCCACATGGTATGCCGCAATGCTCAGACAGCAGAAGAAGCCAAGGCGAGGATGATAGAGAAAACAAACAACCAGGTATGAAACCAGAATGTTGACTTTTAAGTTGCTATTATTTTTTTTTCATATATAATGACATTTTTTTTTTTTTTAGAATATTTATTTGCATATTCTTGATCTTGCTGCTCCCCAAGAAGTTTATAAATTTGCGAAGGAATTTGCTGAGAAGAATAACAAATTGGATGTTTTGGTATGTATTAAATGTGTTTTGAGTCATAATAAAAAGGAAATGTTTGAAATAAAAGTGTACAACTTTAAAATTTGATTTCAGGTCAATAATGCTGGATGCATGGTTCATGAAAAACGAATTGATTCATATGGAAATGAATATAACTTTGCAACTAATGTCCTGTCCCCTCATATTCTCACTCGATTGCTAACTCCCTTGCTCATTCAGTATGCATTGTTATCATGTTCTTTCACTCTAAAGACATCAGAGAAAACTTGTGCACCTAACATATTTTATTTTTTTAGATCTAATCATGGAAGAGTCATTATGGTCACTTCTGGGGGAATGCTTTTAGAGAAACTTGATTCTGATGATCCACAATTACTGAAACAAGAACCATTTGATGGAGTTAGATCATATGCTCAAAATAAAAGACAAATGGTCAGAATCCTTTTCATGGTGGTTTTAAAATAGGCGCAATTGTAACACTTTAAAAGAACATCTTGTCATATTGACAGGTTGTAATGGCTGAGCAATATGCTGAAGAAAACCCTAACATTTTCCATGCATCTGCACATCCTGGTTGGGCAGACACCCCTTCGGTTCGATCAGCCCTCCCTGATTTTCATAAGCGCATGGAGGGAAGGCTTCGTTCTTCAGAGGAGGGAGCTGATACTATTACTTGGCTGTCTATTTCCCAATCAGCTTTGGCCCAAGGCAATGGAAAGTTTTATCAAGGTAAGATAATTAATGTGGCAGGACTGATCAAAATTTTGTGGCAGTCAACTAAATTCATTTTATATTGTAGATCGATCACCAGTTAATGCACACTTGCCCTTGGCTTGGACTCATTCTACAAAAGAAGAGGTTTTAAAATTCATATCTTATTTAGATACTTCAATGGAGAAAGTGAAGAGTTCAAGATAATAATTTCGCATCCAGATCAGCACATTCATTAAGTGCCCATTGAGAAAAAAATATGTTTTGTTTTTAAATGCAATGATGATAAAGCAAAATAAATTGTTTTCATTATTCATTCTTAACTTTTAATGTGCATCAACTACATCAAATATTGTTTTTTTGGAGGTTCTGGAACTTGCGAGTTTCTTGCATTCCAATTGGTGCTTCATGCCTTTAGAAACAGCGTAACCGAGGGAGCTGATTTTAAGTCCACACTGCATATAGCTGCAAAAGAAATTCATGGGGATGTTAAGGAAAAAGACAAAAGTTGATAATGCCAGAATGGCGATTAGAGCCACAGAACAGCCTGTGCTTTTATCAAGAACACAGATTTCCATACATACCACATCCTCCAGTGCAAAGTTGTTAAGGTATGACCAGATAGTGCATTGGATTCTTCTACAGAGACGCTTCAGAACAGCATAGAAATAAAGTATATGTCACTGGCAAACTGAAAACAGATTTTACTAAAATTAGTAACAGAAAATACTACCCAAATTACTAAACATAAATTTGTTAATTGCTCCTACAATGTTCATCCTGGTGCTGGGATGGAGTAACTGAATGGTTCCAGTGTTGAAGTCATGTAATTCTTAACTTCCACTAAAACTGGCATCCAGTTAGTTCCTGAAACCATAATTTAATTGTTAATTACCTAATAAAAAATACGATGCTAAATCTGTAATACAACACAAGTTACTAATAATTTGCAGTAAACCAAGAGAGGTAAAAGAGTAAAAACAGCTGGAAAACACTTTGGGATGCTTTCTCCTAAGCACCATTTGGTGGTTACTGCCTGCCACTGGCCACAGCCATCAACAAAATCTTGACCAAAGTAAACCAAGGAGTCTGTAATTGTAATATAAGCATTTCCAGTTCTTTCAGTCTTCCCATGGTCAAAATATTTCTTTTCTCCTTCTGGAGTAATTTTTTCAGTCGCTAAAATGGATATCTTTTTCAATCCACATAAAAAATACTTTTCCAGCCACACATTTGAAACAATTCTCCTTTCCAATACATTCCTTTAAAAGTAATTTACTAATAATTTATCAGATATCTTTGAAACACCATCAAAATACTTATTTAGATCAGCATCCATTAAATTGTGTCCATTCACCCTCTTAACTTTGGAGACTTCCTTTCTGTCTTGTCCAAGAAAAGTATGGTGATCTGCTTCTCCTAAAATTGCAAATGTTTTGTTATCTTCAAGAACAAACTTTCCAAGTTTGACTAAGGAGTAATAGCCATTAGAAAGATAAGAAGTATGAAGACCACCAAGTTCAATCTTACTCAACCAGTTTCGTTCCAAATTGAAAAAAAAAAAAGTACACCAACAAGCAGGTTTAGAAGTTAAAATGGAATTTGAGGGAGTCAAGCATGGGCAGTAGTTCAAATAAGAGTACAGTAAGAACCTAAGAGAACTGCAGTTGTACGAGACAAAATAGGGAGGGTGTGTCAAATAATGAGGAAATTAAATATTGATATTATTGAGTGTTGAATCTTGGACACAACAGCACAATTTTGAAATACTTTTTTAAGTCTATTTATCTCATGCACATAAGAGTAAAACAAGAGGTGTCACGTCAGTGGTGTTTGTTATAACCACAAAAGAACAAAGTCTCATAAATGATATATAATCTGCTTTCGCACAAATCCTTCATCTTCACGGCTAGATTTCAAAACAAATTCAGCAAGGAATTCTAGGCAAGACAACCCTCCATGCTGAACTACCCCGGAAGCTACAAAGACCAATAGTTCACACAAAACTAAAAGCAAAGGTGGTGTTAATAAAAAAATATGCAAATGCGCATTCTAAGACAGGAATTTTTTCATATTTTCTATTCTTTGCACCACACATGAACACCAATCATCCTGTGTATAGAAGTCAATACTACTATTGGCAATGGTAGGTTAAATAGTTAACCACTTACGAATTTTTTCTCAAAGATGAGATCCTCAGGTTTACCATTAATAATAGTATACTTTTCCAGACTTACTTGAAAAACACATCTTCACGGTCTTCACTGGGTTGAATCCTTCCAGTCTCAATCACAAGCGGACATTGAGGTTCTTGCACTCATAAGAGCTATTCAAATCCTAATAGAAGATTTACCTTAGCCCCAAATCGGGAAAGGAAGTTAACTTTATAGTTCATAAAGACAGCAAAAACAATTTTTGCTTGTGGCACTTTAAAAAGTGAGCCAAGTATGAGATAAAAACTTCTATCCTACCTTCTCCAGAGGCATAATGATGGAAAAGTACCAGGTGAGCAAGTTTTAAAATATATATATACTCAGTAAAGGTAAAATTTCTGCTTACAGCACTTTTATCCAACAAAAAAAGTAAGACGGTAAATTTTTACCCTTCCTCCTCCAGAGGTTATTTCATGACGGTAAAGTATAGGACACTCTGCGTCTACAGATAAAGTTCCTCCCAGAGAGGAATCCCAACTATGTAGAGCTTTAAGTTTGACCTTAAAAGCAAACAATATGTTCCGCATTTTCTTCAATGCACAATGTACACAGCTGATCAGTAATTTTTTTCTACCACATGATTGCCACTTGCAAAAGGTACAAAAGGCTAATTGAAACCAACATCCTAAGTGAAGCCTCACTTTATCATGCTTCTTTCTACAACAGTTTTCATAGACAAAGACTTTAAAGTGAGAAGGGAGAATAGCTTTCGTATTCTCAGCAGAGCAAAGATCCCTGGGGTTCAAAATATTGAGGTTAAAATAAAGCAAGTCTCTGATATTATGTGGGTCAATTAAGGCAAACTTTTATTGAAGTTTAGCTTCCAATTGCACATTCAAATAAGACTCTTTCTGTTGAAAAAAAAAAAACCATTCGGATAAGTTTAAGTAGCTTTGAGGCCACATACTTTATTATGTCAAACCAGAAAGAAAACCATGGTGGAATGTACATGCGTTCTCTCTGACAAATACAAAATAAAAGTTGAGAGTATGAAATGTTCAAGATTCTTAGATTAAATAATTGTAATCTTTTCTTCCATGATGATTGGTGAGTAATAATGTACATATTTTTAAGATGAAAGATGCTCGACCCCTTCATAGCTTCATACTAAGCTAAGTATTTCGTCATAACTTTAAATTAATAACAATTAAACTTCCTAACGATAATAAATGAGAGCACAATACTTCCTGAAGTAAATTTGATAGATTTGTTATCAACCATTTAAATTAAAAATTAATAAGAATTATCCTGATACAAGTTTTTAGTAGCGCCGCGGAGCTTGATAATCTCGGTTCTGCCCATAGCTAGCTGAGCTGCCGCCTGAAACATGGTTAATTCCAAAAAAACACATTTACACTAACAGCTCAGAGCTGAGTAGGATATTGCCAAACACATTCAGTGTGGCATTCTGAAGTTTGATAAGTGAGGCAGCAGAGTGGCCAAATGTGGTTCACTTCGAAAAAGACTTGGCAGATAAGTTTTACCCCTCTATCCTAAATGCAAATGAGGGCAACTAAGGCAGACTACAAAATTTTCTCCTGTGTAGCTCAAACGTACTTTACTATATCTTAACCTCAGATATCATGTTGAGCTAAGCTTTTTGACCATCTTGTCCAACAAAGCCATACCTAGCAAAATGGGTCTGCCTTAAATAAAATTACATCAAAGGAACAAAGTTAACCTTGTGCAATGTGGCTATTTCCATAATATCAGAATTACTTCTTAACTCCACTTTGTCATTCGGCCCTAGACTTTATCAAGGAATATGTTCAAATGCAAATACGCCACTAAATATTTCACCACCACACCTGAGAGACTGAACAGTTCTCCCATAGGATAATCCTACAGTGTTTACACTGCATAGATATTTGATAATTTGTACTCCACATCTTCCCATTCTGAAGGAAAATGTTTTAAGAGTCTTTGGGGCTCATTACAGAAAACAAAAGAGTGGGACACATCTCATGTCCTGTAATACTCACCACCATAAGCTGGTTTGTTGTAGGTGTTGTTGGAACCATAACTCTGAGAGTCTGCAATCAATATGAGAGACATTCCAGCATTGAAAAATATCAATGAATTTCACAAGGAATATAGACAAAGCACTAAGGTCATAGTAGGAGACCACCGCATACCATAAGATCCCGTATTTGAATATCCTCTATCATCATAAGTTGGAGCAGGAGCAGAATAGTTACCAGCGGGAGGATTTCCATAACCACCTGAGGAGTAATCGTCTTGAGCTAAGAAATGAAAAACTATGCAGTGAGTAACGTTTTTACTGGATAGAAATTTAAGCAGATGTATTCCATGGCTATTTGATTAACAACTCATACCTGGTTTATTGTAGCTAGGATAAGAGTCCGTCTGAGAGTACTGCTGAGGTGGACCATAGCTTGGCCTATTTTCTGGAGGAGCAGATGCATATCCTGAAGAATAGTCCTCATTGTAACCAGTTGAAGGGGCACTGTAATTTCCATTACCTCCACTCCCATAACCGCCAGCAGCAACTGGTGGAGGGTCAGATGGTCCATATGATGGTGCTGTGTAACCACCTCCAGATCCACCCGAATTATAAGGTGCATTGTATGACTGGTTTGCTGGCGCACCCCTGAAAAATAAATTGTACATAATTTTTAAAATGGTGATAAGCAATGAAAACTGCTAAAAATTCTTTCAGAAACGCAAAACTAACATCAAGGATTCATTGTAAGCAAAAACTTCAATAAGCAAAGTGTTATGAGTTAAAATTGGTTTTGGAAAGAAAAACACTGAGACCAGGTATCCTAACTTAGAATTCCCTCAATAAACAACATTCAGAAATAGGTCAGAATGAATCACAGCAATTAAGTCAAACTACTGATAAAAAGGTCATGACAAATTTTGTAACCATGCTCAAGATACTGGATATTATCAATGTAGAAGGTGAAAGCATTTAAACACAACAGTCAGTTATAGGAAAAAGCGTCTAACAAGGAAGACTACAGGATAAAGCAAAACTCACCCATAAGAACTGGTAGCACTACTAAGGGATGAACCTTCATATCCTCGATTGGCATACTGATTAGATGGGTATTGACTTGAATATGAAAAAAAAAATACCAGTGAGGATACTTCCCAAGACTACACAAAGGGATTCAGAATGAAAACTACTGCAGATGACAACTACAGGACATGAATAACAATGCAACAACTACATACATGCCACAAACAAATACTAGATCTTAAACAATTCGTAACAATGCCAGTTTCACATGTCAAAGCCCAACAAAGCAAAAACACAGATGTGCAATGGTTGAAACATAACTCACCTTGAAGGAGCCCCATAGCCATTGCTGCCTTGCGATCCTTCAAATCTTCCTCGCTTTGGTGCAGAGTCATCACTAACAGGAGGTCCACCCATGCGTTTGGGTGGGCCAGAAAATCTTTCTGATCCTGAAGATCCGCCACGACCACCCCTGTCAAAACCTCCCCTGCCTCTGCCTTCAAAGCCACCTCTACCCCTGCCTTCAAAGCCACCTCCACGTCCTCTTCCTTCAAATCCACCTCCTCGTCCCCTACCCTCAAAACTGCCTCCCCCGCGGCCTCGTCCTTCAAAACTACCGCCACGACCACGAGGTTCAAAACCTCCCCTTCCTCGAGGTTCAAAACCACCCCTTCCTCGGGGCTCAAAGCCACCACGTCCACGACCTACCAAAAATAACAACACATCAGTAATTATAACTATAATGTGATCACATCATACATTAATGAAATAAATGTTGAGTAACTGTACCTCTGAATGTTCCTCTGTCTCCGCCACCTCCTCTGCCAGCAAAGTCTCCTCTACCTCGAGGTCCACCCATACCTCTCGGGACAAAACCGCCTCTTTCAGAAGGAGGGCCACCACGGCCCATTCCCATTCCACGAGGAGGTCCACCTCGACCTGGAGGACCACCACGCATCATACCCGGTCCACCTCTACGCAACCCAGAAAAAGAGTGGAATATTACAAAACAGAAAGGCCTAAATATTAATGAACAGTAACCAAAATGTCACAACGACTTACCGTCCCCTCATTCCTCCATCAAAGCCCCCACGACCCCTAGGAGGGCCACCACGACCTGGAGGTCCACCACGTCCTCTGAATCCTCCTCCTCCCCTTGGTGGTCTGTCATCCATGGTAGATAGAAGTCAAAAGAACTGGGGAGAAAAAACACGCACATAACCTAAAATGACCTCTGGAAAGCTGATGAAAATATTTTCAGCTGTAGAAGATACTTGGAAATGGAAAAATAAGATGTTCAAGAGCCAGCAACTAGCTCTCAATAACGAAAATCCAGGAAAAATTCAAAACATGTTTCTTTGAAAGTTTTTAAAAATCAAGCAAAGTTTAAGGAGTTAAAGAAAACACATAAAGCTCACTTAAAACGAAAACATTCCACGAACACACAGTTCACATCAATTAAAGGATGAAAAACCAAAAAAAACAAAGGTAGAAAATTGTGACAATATCAGGTAGAACGCTACAATCTCATAGCAAAGCGTCGGTAGTATATACCTTGCAGAAATGAAAGATATCTGAACCCATACATTCAAATCAGGAACAGTAATATATGCATAGTTCACACAATGAAATTGGTAATGAATTCCCGACAAAACTCACAAAAAAAGACTTGGGGGAAACGCACAAAGGCAGCTAAAATGCAGCCTACAAGAAGATGAAACTGGACCGGTTGAACCTCACTCAATACTACATTTTCGAACAAACAACGGTACTCCAGCGAAGATGTGAATGGAAATATTAGCTCAGATAGACTTGCGATAACATAAGAATGCAAAAGGAAGGTAAAATAAGCATTTCTTTACCTATAAAATCGTAAATGTTAGAGACAGGGCCCGGCTTTTCCACTTTGCTCTCCTATCAAGATGGCTGCTCCTTTCGAAACGAAATCTGATCACTGTTGAGGGAGAAGACACGGGGAAAGTCAAAGCGGAAGTCTCTCACACGCTCAATGATGCAGTGAGCAGAAAAAATTGAGGTTGTTGAGGAAGAAACATACAGTCTAAACCATACTTAATCGATTACATGATTTTAACTTGGCTTATATTTTTCAGAGATAAGCTATGTGAATTTTGTTTCTGTGGTTTTATTCGAAAATCTTTAGATTGGCGTGTGGTTGTAGGCTGGTTAAACTGATAACACCGGAAGTTTTGGTATCGATCGCAGAAGACGAAGCTCGAAAGGCATCGGCTGAAAACGAAAACGCCATTTTGTTTGGTTGCTTTGCTTGTGCCTGGTGCTGGGGTTTGATCCAGGGAGGAGTTGTTTTTTGAGCTGTGGAAGAGGGTAAACTTTCAACCCTCGGGCCGTACGCCGGTCATGGTAAAAGTAGAAATGGACGGAGGACGGGGCCACAATGACAATGAGGTAAATGTTCGTCCAAACTGTAATTTTTGTCGTATTTTTTCGGAGTTGGGGCCTAGCTAGGCGTGAAGCCGTACCAATGGGTAAAGCCGACAAGCTTCCAGGGATATTGAATCGTCGATGGAGCACTTCAGCTCAAACTATGTAATGCCCTTGTGTACCAGCGACACGATTCTATGTTTGAAAACTGCCCAACCCCTCTCACTCGCCCTTGGGAAGGGTGAATATCTAACCTCCTGGCGACCCGACCTCAATGGCTTGAGACCTGGGAGATGTTGTTTTGGGTATCTATGCTAGCCCAGGGCGCGCATCTATTTCTGTCGACCTTTTTATCGTCTTTGTGGAAGTTCCTGTGCACTACTTGTGTCCATATCACATTTATGTTCCACATTTTTTGCGGCTGTGTTTCAAGGGGTATGAGGCTGTATTCAAGGTCAATAACCCCTGTTCTATCTGCTTACATTCATTTTATAATGCCCCCACTATGTTTTACCACAGTTCTCCTCTTATTTCGTTATCAGCTGATATTATAAAATTAAAATAATCAAATTAAAAGAAACATTTTACCAGATATTATTGATTTTGCCTGGTTGATGTTTGTTTGGATTTGAATGGTTTAATATGATTTTTGATGCTGCAGATAACTATCCCTTTTTTTGCCTGTAGCTCTAATAATCTGAAACCGAAGACTTAGATTTCTCACATTTCATGTCACTGCTCCATTATCTATTCACGTTCTCAATGTTTTCATTTTTTAACTTACAGGGTTCACATGAAGCTGAGCACACCAGAAAACTTTTTATTGGTGGACTTGACTACCGAACTACTGACGATTCCCTGAAGAAGTTCTACGAACAATGGGGTGACATTGTTGATGTAGTTGTCATGAAAGACCCCAAAACCAAGAAGTATGCACCCCAACCATAATTTTGGTTAGAATGGATTTAAGTAATGACTGCAGTTTTTAATTTTAATTCCCATTTTTAAAGGTCCCGTGGTTTTGGATTCATAACATATGCCAGATCAGCAATGGTTGATGAAGCACAGGCACACAGACCACACCGAATTGATGGCAGAGTTGTTGAACCCAAGAGAGCTGTACCTCGCACAGTCAGTTGAAATTCTATATTTTGGTGTTTGTATTGTGCAGTTGTTATTTTGCACCAATTTTTACTAATCATTACATCTTTTTTTTCTTCTTACTTCTTTTTAGGAGATTGGAAGACCAGAGGCTGGTGCAACTGTGAAAAAGTTGTTCATTGGCGGTCTAAAGGAAGAAATGGATGAAGATGATATTCGAAACTATTTCAAACAGTTTGGTCAAGTCAGATCTGTGTCAATAGTTATGGATAAGGAGTCAGGAAAGAAGCGTGGCTTTGGTTTTGTTGAGTTCGATGACTATGACACTGTGGACAAGATTTGCTGTAAGTTGTACAATCAAACTGATAAATTTGAGTGGGATGGAGAGGAGGTATTACATAGCGTCTCTTTGTTGTTTTTACAGTACAAAGAAATCATTCTCTGAGAGGGAAGCACATTGACGTGAAAAAAGCTTTGAGCCGTCAAGAAATGGCCGACATGCAAGCCCGCAACCAAAGGGGAGGCGGCGGCGGCGGCGGTGGTGGTGGCGGCGGCGGGGGCGGCGGCAACGGTGGCCCTGGCAGAGGAGGTCCATCTGGGGGCGGCAACTGGGGAGGCAGCAGAGGGGGCAACGACTGGAACCAGGGCAACCAGGGCTACAGCGGCAGTGGTGGTGGCGGCGGCGGTGGTGGCTGGGGCGGCAACGGCCCATGGTCCAACCAGAACCAAGGGGGTGGAGGCGGCGGCGGCAGCAGCTGGAACCAAGGGGGCGGGGGCGGCGGCGGCAACCAAGGGGGTGGCAACTGGAACAATGACAACTTTGGCGGTGGCTACCAGCAGAGCTATGGAGGTGGACCCGTGCGCGGAGGCAACTATGGTGGAGGTGGTGGTCGATCAGCCCCCTACTCTGGTAAGATTTGATTCAACTGGGCATCGGGCTGACATTACGTATCTCTTTGTTCGTCCGGATTAAATGAACGAGCTGTTTGTCCTGCAGGTGGCGGCGGCGGCGGAGGCAGCGGTGGTGGCGGCGGCGGCTATGGTGGCAACCAGGGTGGTTATGGTGGCAACCAGGGTGGCTACGGAGGCAACCAGGGTGGCGGCGGCGGCGGCTACGGCGGAAACCAAGGGGGCGGCGGCGGATACGGAGGCGGCCAAGGAGGCTACGGAGGAGCAAGGAGATATTAGAGCTTCCCAGACCACACCAGGTATGTGCTCCAACAATTTCTAATATAGTGTACTTCTTAGTTAGCTCACCCTTCTGCAGTGTTGAGACAGCTGGCTGTTGATGTTTCTACTTTCCTTTATCCACAACATTTTCAGTATTCTCCGTAATATTTTATACCAATCTGGTCACCTATATTGGTTCCTTAATCAAATTTACCCAAGACAATTTTCTAAATCTTGCTGACATGCCCATTGTCCATATAATTTTTCCCTAACGAACCTAAGTTACCCAATTTTGATGACAAGAATTCGTTCTCCTGTATTCTTTTTTCAACATGATTTAAATGTAATTGTTCTCATATGTGTAGACATTGTTTACTCCTCTTTACCAGGCATGCCTCTGTGTTTCTGTGTACATCTCCACCCCCATTTTTTTTTCCATGGATTGCTATTGCTTCTTGAGACCCTCCAGCATAGTGTGCCATAGTGACTGTGATCATAAAATAACTGTTTGCTGAAATTTTGTCCTCAACCAAACACCATCAGTGGTTTTTGGTTGAAAGAAAAGTTCTTGTGTTCACACTTTCTGTTGGCATCTTTTAAATACTGGCTTCTTCAACCAACGTGTAGTTGTCTGTATTCTGGATGGGTGCTTCATTTTATGTTTGGCATTTATGTACCATTTCCTCTATCTTCCCTATTTTCCCTCTGTAGAAAATTATAGTTGCTTATCAGTTACAATGTGTAGTGTAATCAGAGGTTTTTATTTGTTATTGTGGGTAATTTGTGAGATTTTGTTTAAGTTTAACCTAATTAGGGTCACCAAAATCATGAAGATTTTGTGAAACTTTAGATTTGCTCTTTTTGAAACAAAGTAATGGTCCTAAGGTTTTGGTGGGTTAAGTTTTGTAGTCTGCAGATAGAAGTTAAATGGGTTACTAACAATTGTTGTTGTTTTGCATCCTTCCTGTTTAGGTTCCTTCTACAGCCTACGTACAAAATTTGTACTGTAGGGCTTTCTGGTCAGGGTTGGATTAGACAAGTCAGATGATTGATCCGATCCACTTGAAGATGAGGAGTTGTTTACCAGATGTGGTAGGCCCTATGCAAAGGACTATATTTGTGTGCGTGTGATTAAGCGTGTAACTCAGGAATTTTAAGTTGTAGGACTTAACAGTATTGTGAGTTGGTTACTTCCAATCAAGTCAAAGACATCTGGTTAGTGTGATAGAACACACAGCTGGTGCTAAAATCATTTACCATTAGAAAGAGCTCAGGTTTATTACCCGCCTAATTTAATTGACAAGAGTTGTGACTAGGGAACACTTAATTGAAGTAGATGTGGTTTCTACTTAAACTATAGTTTTAGCCCATATGATTGTGCATCTTGTGTTAATCACAAAATTAAATTATTCATCATTGTCAGGAAAAATTAATAATCAAACACTAGGTATAAAGTGTAATTTTGTACCCGTAACCAAAATAAAATCACCCACTCTCTACGTGATCAGGGCCACTTAATTTACAGACTGAAACTGCCTCAGTTCTCGTACCTAGGTCACTAATCATTCCGTTGTAGGAGTTTCATGTACAATTAAGTTTCTCCACCGATCTGATGTTAGTATCTCTGACAGATTATGTTAAGAATTGAGGTTTTATGTATTTATTGATAATCTTAAAGAAAATGTAGAAAAGTAAATGACAAGGTTTTTATTTCCTTTAAGTTAGATTTCTGCCCGTACCCCTTTCATGAGGTTCCAACCATCAGAAGTGTACACACAATCACTTACATTTTAATGGGGAAACACTTCCTTTCCAATCATTTTTTCCCTCTGTTTCCATAGCATTAAAATATTGCTAGCTTTTCTATTCATTCATGAATTAAGTAGCATCTGGTCATCTACTTGTCGTAGCACTTCCTTGAAGAAGAATGCTAATGTAAGGTGGTAACCAGAAGAGTAACTGTCATATTTTTGTCTTGTCCAAATAATCTTCCATTCCTTTTAAGTTGAATGTAGATGACGTCACTTTAACGCCCATTCATCACCCACAATGTAAACTCATACGTAAACTGGTTTCGACATCCCAAAACGTTCCTTAACTCACATACATTCATTTCAAAGCCCCTCGCACTTGGAGTACTCAGTAATATGGATTCATCATCTAGAAGTCAAATGACCAAGGATAAGTCAGCGGACATACATGCTGTTAGCAGAAGGATAGCAGCAGTATAGCATCAACACTCATGGAGGAAGTTAGCTGACAGGAAACATGAAGGCTGACTCAGAGCGTCAGAACGGTAGGTGGATCGGATCTCTATTTCTAGGATCTGCTGTGCAGGTATAGTAGCAGAAAGAATAGTGATAAGTGATTCTCAATATCAGTCCAATTAAAATTTGATGTAGCTCTGTAGGATGGTTTGGTCTGGTTCTTCCATACAATCATGTATGGTATGCCATGCAGCTCTTGAAAGGCAAATACTTCACGTTGCCTTTTAAAAACTTCTAATATATTCCTTCATCCCAATCCTCTTAGTTTCCTGTTCGCCTTTTATACATGCTGTGCAATTTCATTCATTCCTTAACCAATATTTGATATTGATAGTTTGAAACAGACTGGAAATATTTTAACCTCAGTGATCAACTGATGATTTACCTCCTCCTATCATTTCTATGGATTTCTGATGGGTCCTAGCTAATTGTTGTGTTTGGGGCATGTGTTGTCTATCACTTCCTAGAATGTCTTTGGGTATTCTCTGTTTTCTTCAGTTTGTCGCTTTCATCTTTAAAAAGCTACTTCACACAATTGTCCCTCCACATTTCTGTTCTTAAAAAAAAAATAGCCTTTTGTCAATTAGAATGTCTGTTACGTCCTTTTTTACTAATGGTATTTCTTTCAGCTTGTCAGTGATCATCATTGCCTTTCTTGCAAGTTCTTAGTTATTGTTGACCTGCATATTTTTTTTTGTAGTTTCTCAGCATGCAGTGGTAATTGTGGAGTGTGATTTGGTTCAATTAATTTTACATTTTTGATGTTGCATTGCTTTTCAGGTATACTTGCATAACCAATTTTGTTTTTAAGCTTCCCTACCTAACTAGTAGTTTAAATCAATAGGTCTCTCATTCCACTGGGAAATGGCAAGCTAGTTTGACATTAAATTGATGTCAATTTTTTACAGTTGTCCAATAGAATTTCACCCTATTACTTGGGGTCTCTGCATGTCTCAGTGCTCCCGTTCGTTGTACCCATGCCCTTGTAGTGTTTGGCCATGTAGAAAATCCAAAACTATTCTGGTATTTATTCTAATTGTTCAGAAATTTGAAACTTATTGCACCATTTGGCTTTCAAATTAGTATCTGAATGCAACTGATATGAATGGCTTGTTTAACTAAGTTTACCTGCGTTACATGTCATTGCTTTTAAACTGAGTGCCTTAGATCGTAACATCTCCATAGTCTGACTGGACTTGTGAAATACCTGTACTGTAAGTGTAATTTCGACCCCCGTGTAGAAGTGATTGATAATGCAACTTAAAATGTCCATGGACATGGATGCCTATCTCCCCCTTCTTTGTGCAATATTCTATTTTGGATAACATCAGGTATGGGTTGGTTGCGTCGCCTCTAATATATATTCTCTGCATTACTGTAAATCTGTAATTTTTAACTACTACATTGCAGCCGTGCGGGTGGCAGCTCGTACGCTCGCCTGCTTACCCTCACCTCCCAGTTAGAAGTTTAAGTTGAAGGTCAGATTTAACGTCAAATCGACGTCAATGGCGAAAATTTGTCGAAACTTCGACATATTTCATGGAAACCGACGTAATTGACTAATCCTCGACAACCAATTTCTTCACTGGTAAAACAAGTGTGAAAAATTAGCTCATTAACGTGTGCAAAGTTATGATTTTGCACATTACATGGTGTTTAACTCAAGTTGCACACTTGCGCGTGGTGTGCAAATTTTAGACGTTTTGTGGTGTGCTGGGCGGGGCGGGTTGGCCTATCCAGCGCGTAAGCAGGCGGAAGTGGCGTAAAACCAATTGACGTATAACCTAGTTAGACACCACAATTGTCTAGAAAATGCATACTTGATGTTAAGCATCAATTGACGTGCAAAATTAAACACTTGTTTTACCAGTGTTGGCTCGGTAGTCCCCTGTCAGTGTGCTTTTAACAATTATCCCAGTGCCTTGTTAATGTTGCTCAGCCAGTACGCTATTCTAGATATTAGATATTTATTTTTCTGAATGAACTAAGTTACGAAAGTAGTTGGAAATTGAAGTTGCATGTTGTGTACTAATGCTCTTTACAGGTGATCGTTTATATCAATAAAAAATCTCTGAAACCAACAATTTGTTTTCGTTGCGTAGCCTCTCAAGCCTCACACAACCCAAAATACCAAATAAATAACACTAAGTTCCTTACAAACACTTTGTAACTTTGTAGAAAGGATTTGGCACCTTCGTAGGACAAACATTCGTAATACGAAGCGGTGCCCTTTGTAATAGAAAGAAAATCTGTTTGTACTTTGTTGGTTCCAGATCCTTTGTACGTCACAAACCCAATCCTTCGTAATATGAAGACTGCTCTTTGTAAGGAACTAAGAGCGATGTACGACGAAGAAAATCACTTTGAATTTGTGCACATTTTTCCTGCTCAGTACACCTTTTTTGCGGTGGCCAAAGCAGTCGAACAAGGGACTATTAAAGTATTGATACCCTCACGATGACACCTTGACAACGCCCACCAGACCCTCATGATGGCCTTTCCCCGGGAGGATTGGAAAGGGGGAGGGGGGGGGGGGGGTCCGGAGCAATGTTCATCGCGGCTCCGGCTAGGTGGGTGGGTCGGGTCGAACCGCAACTTTCCAACCGGGGCTCCGATTTTATCACCCCGTTCTGTTCTTGTACGTACGTACGTTCTGAAGAGGGGCGTTAAAATTAACTGTCCGCTATTTCGTCAACCAAAATCGTTGAACCCTGATTGAAGTTGAAAATTGGCACGTTTTATTCTTTCAGTTTTCCGCCCTTATTGCAAAGCCAACAATGACCAATGACGTGATTTAGCGGACCCGTAGCGATGCTCGGGGCGCTCGGGGTCGGACCTTTCCCTCCGTCGCCCCTCGCCGCCGACGCCAAGGTGTGGGGTACTCCTATGGCGGCTATCCCCGGCACTGCCCGGCGCGCCACCCCTGCTGTTACGACCCCCTCAAGCGAAACTAATTTGAGCTTTCCCGGCCCCGACGGCGTCACGCGGTTAAATAAAAGTGATTAGCCGTTTAGCCGCCCACCCATGCCCGACCCGAAACCGTTATGCGCAACACGTGGGCTGGAAAACTCCTCACAGAAGAGAATTTTCGTTGCAAGGGTAGTGAGTCGTACTACAGGGTGGGTGGTCCGCGCCGTCTTTATTTTGGTGCTTATACTGTACCGGATTCTCACGTGCGGACGGGTTGCATCATGGTGAGCGACGGAAGGGAAGCCCGCCCGCACGCGTGAATCCGGTACAGTATAAGCATTAAAATAAAAAAAAGAAGGCGCGGATCACCCACCCTGTATTCCTATTATACCCAAAAATTTCAAATAATTATTATAATAATAATAATTTTGATTTGGCGCAATGTAAGTATGGAAAACGGGGGGGGGGGGTATTTTCTGGCGCTATAGCTCTGGTTATTAAATCCCTGCCTGTCCTGTCACCTTCCCTGCTGAACGCCGCGAGGAACATGAACGCCTGCACAGCCGCTCTGTTGCTTGCCCTACTCCACCACGCCGCAGGAGAGAAACGTCCACAGTCGAAGATTGGTCCGCTAAAATTGCAACGAGAGGGGCTTATTGACGTGCACGTCAGCCGGGTCCGCGCTGGACGCATAGCAGAGGGCTGGTTGGGTCTTCATTCGAAAGCCACCCCTGAGAGCCGGTCTCGCCCACCGCTCGCTGTAGTGCCTGTCGGCGTACGACTACGAGGCGCCCAGTTTTAGAATCATCCCCTCTCACCGCTCTCACCCTCCACCCCCATCTTGATTTACGAGAGACGCATTTTTATTTTGCGGGAACAGGGCCTCTAGACCACCTATTGCGTTCTTTTCGCTTGGTTCAACGGGGAAAAGTTACTAGCCTTGAAGTTTTTGATCTCTGCTGAATGGAAATTGCAAATCTTACCCCTACTTCATCGCAAATGAAGTTTGTTCGAAGATGACATCCTAGCTTAGGATAAACACCAATTTATATTCGATCGATCTTTTCCAATAACTTTCTTACTAATCTCTAAAGTTTTTCCTAAGAAGTCTCGTTTTTTTCGATGTTATTTTTTTTTTTTTTTTTTTGAAAATAATTTGATCTTTTTCCTATTTTTTCTGGTAAAGTTCTGATTTTTTTACCGGGAAAATTTTAGACTCTAACATTCCTAGCTAGCATAGAGGCCCGAGTGAAAATACATTATAAAGTAACCATGGTCATCGAATACTGCTTTACACGCTCCTCATGGGGGGGGGGGAAGATACCGCAGCCCTACCTGCGTGCGTACGGGGGTGAGGCGGGCGGGGCGGGGCGGGCTGTGGAGCCGTTGCAGGGGAGGATATATAAGCGGCCGCCCCCAGAGGCGTGCGCTCAGATCCTCCCCGTGCGTACCGCTGCCTGGCGTGGCGAGGCGTGAGCGCGGTGTTCCCGGGCGTTCCTTTGCGGAGGCTGCAGAGCGC